AATGTGACTACGGAAGGAATAATATGAAAAGGAACCTAAATTTAAGATATTATATATTTTTTTAATTTAGAGTGGAAAACTGAACTGGCACCATTGTAAGAATAACTTTCGATTTATCAGTGCTTTAAGTTCAAGGGTATGTCAATAGAATCTCGCATAGAATTAGCAAAGAAATTAAATTTGTGTCAAAACTGTTTACGTCAGGGTCATAGTGAAAATAAATGTAAATTGAGTTCTTGCAAGTTTTGTAGTCAACGTCATAACAGTATGTTACACATTGAGCACAAACGAATAGTTGTACCAACCAGTGAGTGCATTGTTCTACCTGCCTCAGAGACTTCAGAGCTAAAATACACTTTTAGATAACGGACTGATGTTGTATTAGATAACGGAAACACATCTAGCTTTATTACAGGGTCATTATTAAATCAGTTACAATTACTGTTCCAGAGTTTCACTGTGCGAGGCAGGAAACTTCTAGAAAAACGCACAGTTGCGGACTTCCAACCATCCAAATGATGGGCGTGGATATCTTGTCACGTAGAACGATGGCGGAAAGTAGCGGCAGGTATGAGTTCGAACAATTCCTCGGAGCATTCCCCGTAGTAAATGTGATAGAAGATGCACAGTGAAGCAAAATCTCTACGCAGGGCCAATGGATCAAGCCGACTTGAAGGGTCCTGGCAATCGACGATTCGATTCGATTCGAGTCGCTCTCCGCTGAATGCGGTCTAGAGGGAGAAGCTGGTATTGGGGTGCCCCTGCCCAAAGATGAGAACAGAATTCCATAGGGGGCCGAACTTGCGCCTTGTAAAGCTTTAGACGATGTACTGGAGTGAAATACTACCTCGATCTATTAAGCATACCAAGTTTCTTGGATGCTAATTTAGCCTTATCCTCTAAGTGACCACGTAACTGGACCTCGCTCGATATGTCGTCAATATTGGCTGAGGCAGTTAGGGGAATGTTTTGAAAGCGAGGTGATACGACAAATGGGGTTTTTTTGGCGGTGAACGCGCAAACCTGTGTCTTAGTAGGGTTGAAGTGGACCAAATTAAATCGACCCTAGTTAGAGACTTCCTCTTACGAAAATTCAATATCAGACACAAGTTGATTCCGGCTGTCAATGACGCTTTCCCGAGAAATATTTGCACGACCGTTATAGGTGGAGTCCTTCGTGCTGTCATCTGCATAACAATGAATACCACTAAATTGCAGCATGTTTTTAATATGCAGAAGAAAAAGTGTAGGTAATAGCACACGATGGAAGTTTTGATAGAAGAGCTTTGTGCCACACCCGATCGAAGGCTTTCGCTATGTCCAAACTTACTGCCAGGGCCTCCCCCTCTGTTTCAATTGCCTTAGCTTATATGTCAAGTAAACTAGAAGATCGCCAGCAGAGCGACCACAACGAAATCCGTATTGCAGGTCACTAAGCAACTGGCGATCCTCTAGGTACCGAAGGAGCTGGCGGTTGATAATGGACTCCATTATCTTTGAAAGCAAAGGGGTTATAGCGATCGTCCTGTAGTTGGATGGGTTCGAGCCGTCACCTTTTTTTGGGATCGGATGCACTAAAGCAGTCTTCCATGAGGTTGGGACTACGCCAGATGACTAAGAGAGCCGGAATAGGCGCGTTAAGATCGGTGCCAACTCTGGAGCGCACGTCCTTAGCACAATAGGGGGGATACCATCGGGCCCACACGACTTGTGGATATCCAGGGAGAGTAGTGCTAGACGCACTGAGCTTTGGTGAAACCGGATATCAGGCATAGAGCTTCCGCACCGCGGAAAGTGAGCGGTTTTAGCCCCCGGTCATCCAAAGTCGAGCTGGATGCAAACAAGTTACACAGGAGATCGGATTTTTCTCTCGTCATCTCATATCTCTCGTAGTGTCATTAAATATAAATAAAGTCTGAAAAAAGTGCGTAGACATTTCTGACTGAAATCTCTCGAATTTTGGTTTATGGTCTGGGTTCTCTGTTTGTTTGAATTAACATCGAATCTCAAGTCAATACCTGAACTTTTGACCGTTTAATGGGAATGTTTATTAATGAAATGGGAATGGAATGAAATTAATAAAATTAATGAAAATGTATTTATTTGGGTAAGCTTGCATTTGTGACGTTCTAACGTAACGTAAGTAGTTTATAAAGTAGCTTTCGAATATAGCAGCGCTTATAGAATTTTAACGACACATCATGAAAGCTTGTGAAATGTTAGTTTTGCTCAGTGTCTTTAACTTAGTTTATTCGCAATCAACCAATTTGGTGAGAATTTATAGTTTGATTAGTTTTAAAATTTTAATGCTGTGATATTCATTGCTTATACTCAGATTAATATTTTTTAATTAATTAATTTTATTACATTTTACAATTTGCAACACGTCAGGTAAATATTACTACTAAGTAAATATTGCAGGATGAAAGTCCATAAAGGGTTTATCCGGCACTTCAAATTACTCAAATTTCAAGTTCTATTTTGATACTCGTTTGTTATTTTAAAGCCAAATGTTTGCAATATTTGCATTTTTCATCTAAAATATTAAGTTATACACTAAGATTAGTTTTAAACGCATACTCAATTAAAATGACTGTTTTGATTATCCTTATGTGTTAACTAATAATGGTTATTTTCGCCGCCAGGGATCGCCTAAGTTGAAAATGTGTTTCACCAAGCAATGCCTAATGTTAACACGTGCATGCGTTATTTATTATTCAGCGCCTTACCCGTGACGTCATTTGAAAAACGAAACTATAGGCAGCACAAAAGGCATATAAATGATTTATTGAAATTTATATAATCAATCAAAATATTGTTATAATAATTAAATAACTTTTAGGTCTCTAATTTATTGCATGAATATTTGGAAAAGGTCAATTTATATTTTTATATTGAGGTGTATGGAAAATAAAAATGTATGAAAATATAAGATTTACCTACTTTGTAATACATTGTAATAACGTAATAGCAAATGGAAAGGACCTTTTTTAAAACATAACCAAAAGTAACAATCATATTTTAAATCAAATATTTCAAATATATATTTATTTTTAGTGAAATGAGCTTTACTTAGTGTGAAAATCATAATAGCAGTTGCTATTTTAATAAACCATTACAAGTAACTTCTAAACTTTATACTAAGATTAAGATGTAAAAAATATTGTAAGATTAAAGTCATTTGCTCAGCGGTTGCCATTAAGAAACCTTTTATTGTGGTGACTCAAGTTACCCGTCTCATAAATAGCTAATGTCATGATTACCTTTTGGATCTTAGAACTTGTGAGATTGGACAGTGTAAGGATATAATTAAAGACAAAAATAAATTAAAGTACTGCAACAATAAATTCGTAGTATAAGTAAAAATTTTGATGATTTCTGCGCCTTACTTGCATGTGTCGGCATCCAATTTAATATCCTAACTCTGTCTCAATATTGGCTCACAGACATGAAAAAAATACCCTCGCTGAATGGTTACTCATCGTAAAGCTCCAGTGACAATTGTAACCAAAATGATGGAGAGATGTAGTCGTATTATATATATATAAACTGTCTAAATAATTACGTCGTTGTTGAACCAGATTTAATAGAGGAATACTGTCTAACAATAAAAATAGGAAATGGTACCATAATAGTAGCAATTTATAGACCGTATGCCTTTAAAGTTATTGATAGGTTTATAAATTCACTTGTAAAGTAAAGTTTACTTGTATTAAAAATGTGATAATTGTGAGAGACATAAGTATTAATATATTAAGAACCTAACTCTATTTCAAATACATATTTAGAGATCATCTTATCATTCATGGGATATCTGCCTGCACATAACTTTTCCACTCGAGGAGAAAGCTGTTTAGATCATATAATGTTGAAAACAAAACTATCATCTAATCATAGAAACTTATTTAACAAATCACTTTTCAAACACCACAACTCTTGAATGGGTTCAACAGGTGATACGAGATGTAACAGGTGACCTCGTGGTTCATCGACAGACCGAAGAAATTTGACGAAAATGTGACGCTTTGGCAATGTGACGAAAACTATTTAGTCATGGTTCTAGTCATTGGGAATGCAGAGTTCTAACCTGAAAGACGGCCAATCAAAATCATCTATCAACAATCAAATTAATGCTACATTTATTGTTGTGTTGGTCCCTGAAGATACCGTCCCCCTGATTCTGGCTAAAGGGCCCGGCTTAGCACGTCAACACCCCGCTCTTTGGCAGATCTGTCGAGGTTTCATCTACACGATCGCCATCAGCATTAGAAGTTACATCTAATGTTGGATGTCACTGACGTCTCCAATACCAATAGTCTTAAGTGACATCGGGGAGTAGTTAGCTTCAGTGACTGTTTGTGATCTACGCCCATCGAAGCTTAGATGAGGATTAACAGAAGCAGATTATTTCATCCAAAAGCCGTGTCTAGCGAGTGTCAAAATACGAGAAAGTGGACCCATTCGAACTACATTAGCGACAAACACATGCTATGGAAATCCGCAGAAAAACAACATCTGACTTTATATTTTCGAATATGTATATGCATATATAGAGCAAGCCGTAAGGGTCAATCAGTCGGTTTCCGACTGGACTGACCTGTTTGCTGGTGTACCACAAGTTCGGGCGGCGTTCTCTCTCCACTCCTTTTCTCTATATTTATTAACTCACTTACTATTCTATTCTTTCGACCTCTTATCACCTGTATGCTGATGACCTGCAACTGTACGCACAAGACAAGATTGATTACTTGGATAGAGCTATTATACAGCTGAATTTAAACCTCAAGCGAATATGGGAATGGTCACATAGCTTTGGCATAACAGTTAACCCTAACAAATGTCAGGCCATCATCATAGGAAGCCCCAGTCTAATTTCCCGGTTAAATCTGAGCGCCGTTCCGTCTGTATCATATAATGGTGTGGTGATCCCTACACTTCCACTGTAAGAAGCCTAGGGCTTGTCTTGGACCGCACCCTCTCCTGGGAGGGCCATATGGCGAATGTCTCTCACCGTGTTCATGGGACTCTTGGCGCATTATACCGACTTAAGAATTTTCTCCCGTCCAATACAAAGGCTGCCCTCGTGCAGGCCCTTGTTCACCCCCTTTTTGATTATGCAGATTTTTGTCTCTCTATGTAGGAAATTAAGAATTGTAAACACTCTCTCTGCAATTCTATACGATCCACGCGCGCCTACGTGTCTGATATCTAGGCTTCAGTACTTGGGTGCCTCTCATCAAAAACAACTTCGCTCCACTTCCAATCTGGTACTCCAGACCCCTTCTCATCATTCTATGTTTGTGTCCAAATCTTTTTCTCTTACTGCTATACGGCTGTGGAATGCACTACCTCTGGACGTACGAAATGCTCCGAATAGGTTAGTTTTCAAGAGAAAAGCGCATGAACACTATCTAAAAGGTAACAACCTTTCCTGACTTTCCAATCTGACTTGTCGATGTTTATTTTACTGTTTATGTATATATGTATTTGTGTCTTTGTATGTGGGGTATTGTCTTAATAAATATATGTAAATATATATGTGTCTTTATATGTGTATGATTGTTAATTAAATCAGAATAATAATTCTCTATTACTATCACTGCCGTAAAAATTCTCTGGTTGACTGGTAGAGAAAGGCTATGGCATTAAGTCCGCCATTAAATAAATATGGCAATAAAGATTAAATAAATAAATTAAATGTTTATAAATGAATAATATACGAAATCATTAAAAAGATTAATCATATAATTGATTACTTCACTTTTGACAATATTCAGTTTCACTGGAATCACAAGATTTTTTCAATTGACCAAATGTAATGGATGATGCTTTCAGTAGTCAAGATGTGGAAGAATGCACAAAGAATCAATCAACCACCGGACCAATTTTGGGTATGAATATTTAAGCTTTAGTATAGTTATTTATATCTAATTACTCGTTACATGTTTTCATTATACATACATATTATTTGTAACTTAAGGCACGATCGCTCAGCTATAATAAATAATCAACTTGAGTGGTTATTTTGATTATAAGGATGGAAATATAGTTAATGTAAAAAGCTGTAACATATACATCATCCATATTCTTAAGCATATCATTCGTTCAATCGAAAAATTACGCAAATTCTTGTAATTGTAAAAAGTAAGAATTAAACGAATAAAAATAGAACAAACGTCAAACGTCAATGTTCTAAGCTAAAGCTTAGCGTCTCATATCAATTTCATTACGTGTCTTGTGATAATGAATAAAAGTTTCACAATGCACTTATACCTATTTGCGACTATATGACTTTAAATTTGAATATAATCTGACAGCGATTGATAGATTGCCATCATCGTTAATGAGGAAGATAAGTTATTTTTTGTCGTTTGTCCGTCGTGTAGACTATTGAAGAATATTAAATACGTATTTTATTATAATAAATAAATTGCGTAATCAATAAATTACGGCGATACATTGAGTTGAAATATCGCATGATGTTACGTTTTGTACATTTTCTACAAAACTGAGACGTAGTGAGCCCTCACTCCTCAACTTTAATGCCTATTATCTAAATCTTATATATAAAATTCTCGTGTCACAATTTCGTTCCCGTACTCCTCCGAAACGGCTTGACCGATTCTCATGAAATTTTGTGAGCATATTGAGTAGGTTTGAGAATCATCCAACATATATTTTTCATACCCCTTAGTGATAAGGGTTGTCCACCCTTAACATTTTTGTCTACACTAGAAATTACTTAGAAATAATTTATATGGCAAAACAACGTTTGCCGGGTCAGCTAGTAACTAAGATGTTTTTTACCAGTTGTCCCTATTGCTTCTGAAAATAGTTGAGGCGTGTAGCACTTCCCTTTGCCTTTCAATCCGATCAACAATATGTACAGTTTAACGGGTTTGATTTTTGGAATCTACGAGTATCAAAATACGGTTTATAAAACGAGGACTAACAGTAGTATAGACAATTCAAGATATGTGTGCGCTCGGCGCTATGTTTCCGTGAGCTTGTAATGGCATAGCTTTCATTTGTGTGACAGTGACGCTTCAGATACGGTTGAGATTTTCGATAAACCAATTTTTCAAACTATAAAAAATCCAGTTGTCTAATTGTTCTGTTAAAATTCCACTATCATTTTTTTTTGTATTGGTAGGTGATGACAGTAGATAGTAATTTATCGTTCATCTATTTTAAGAACGTACCGATGCGTACGTAACCAGATAATACTGTTAAAATCTAGCAGTTAGTGATTAGATTATTGCAGTTTAATGAAAACGTCGAAATGTTATCAAAAAATATGTCCATTGACGTGTTTTTAATCTTAGCTTTTATAGTTATCTGATATCTCATTTGTATATAACGAGGCGGTATGCTTTCTCGAATCAAATATTAAAATGCTGCTGATCTTGTCATTGTGTATTGTTGCCGTAGCTTCAGGTAATTTTGATAATTTTTTTTTATTCACAACATCATTGCTACTTTCATAAATCAAGGGCCTCGAGCGAATCATAAACATGAAAAGATACCATTACCACCCAGAAAAACCTTTTTCTACAGTTATCGAAACCAGCATAATGGCACTATGAAACCGTCCTACTTCGTATGTTTTTAAAATAAGATGGCAATTTAATCATTCCTAGAGCTTAGACCGCTTGGTTCTCCATTCCTATTAGTCATAAGTTGAAATTATATGTAGCATTCAAAGCAGAGTAGCGCGAAGAAAAAGAACATTTTAATTTTACTTTAGGTCAAGAGGTTATGGAACCTTGGGATCTGACCAATATAATTATGTTTTATTAGTGGCCGCCCGCGACTTCGTCCGCGTGGAAGTCGATATCCCTCCCGTGGGAATGAGAAGTTTTCCCGCGGTAAAAAGTACCCTGTGTGTTATTCTGATGTATATACTATATTATTGTAAACTTCCATCTAAATCCGTCCAGTAATTTTTCGTGAAAGAGTAACAAACATCCTCACAAACTTTATGTATTATGTCTTAATACATATATCACATAGAATATTATCACTTCATTAATAACGTCAATTTACATATAATAATAGTAATGCATATATTTTATATTGAATATAATTATATACTATAATCAAGTATATTTTTAGGTATACCTAAGCCTCTGGTTTACAACAGTCCTGAAGATGCACCATCGATCGATGCCAAATCTTTTTGGAAGGCTTTCAGCAGTCCTCAGAGGTATAACCCGGTCACAGAGAATGAATATCATCTTATCACTAGGTGAGTGTTTTAGATTAGTGATTACTTACTTAGTGATGACTATTTAACAAACAAATAAATACCTCTAAAAAACTTCGTTGGCCCTTATTTGGGCAGTGATCGTGTGCCAGACAGATACAATTCAATTTATTGCAACATCATTTCAGATGAACGTGATTTTTATTTAGCTTTTATTTTACGTAGCGTACGTCTTATTTATTTTCTAGAAATATGTTTTTCTAGAAATATTAAGAAATATTGTATTGCATTTGCAAGCGTAAGTGCCTTAAGTTCACGGCCCCTTTGGAAAAGAAGCACGATATCATCGCACCTACAAAAATTCTTGCAACCAATAGGTTGTTTTTTAGAAATATCTAATACACAAAGTGATCTTAACTTTTTGGAAATGTAAGTTCATTTGCAATAATTGTTTGAATTCACTAGATGGTCATGCCCGTGGGCAAGTCTGCAGACATGCGTCCCAGACATCTAGGTTTGTGCCCGCGCAATAGTGTTGCCTCTACTACCCGCAGCGACAGCTTTCGTAAATGACGTATCCAGGTTAACCCTGAAAAGAGCGATGCTGTGCTCTACTCCTTTTACAATAAAGCCATCGAGGCCAACTTCTTTCGTCGCATCCAATTATTTGACCAAGGCATCCCTTGGGTGACAAAGTTAAATATCTGGGCGTCACTCTCAACAAACGGCTATCTTTTGCACCTTATCTAAAAATTGACCGTGACCGAGCGGCAGTCGTCTTGGGTAGGCTCTACCATCTAATATGGAAGCGGAGTAAAATGCCACTTAGACAAAAGATGACAATTTACAAAGCTTGCATCTGTCCTATACTTACTACACGAATGTTGCTGACTTAGGGACAACACACTTTAAACGTGACATGATTCAAAAAGTCGCTGACACAATCCTTATACCTTTGAAAGGGATTGCGATAAATTTTAAAATTAATAAATTAGGCCACTCTTGATAATATTATCTGATTTTCTAAAAAACATATATATATGCAGGCGTACATCAGGTTACTGTAAAAGGACAAGTTTCTGTGAAATATTATAAACTTACTGTTTAAATTTAAGACTGTTGTAGTTTTTAGGGATCTGATATGGTGTAGACTATACCAATACCATACACATATGTGATTGGATTATTGGGCGACCTGTGAAAGCCATAATTATTTAAAATAATTTGTAGAGCCAACCCTTCAGTCAGCCAGCCGATAGTACAAGGTCTCCCGAATACTCTGACTCTGTCTAACTACAGCGCATTGAAGAAGACAGTAATAGTCATACACGGTATGGGTGAAAATGCTGTGTCTCACTTCAACCGAGTTATCACACCGGGTGAGTAATTACACTGTACTGTAATATAAAGAAAATTTAAAAAAAAACCTTAAGACCGAACGCCTCAAAGTTATAGATAGAGCTATAATAATGTTTTATTAAATCAATGAATATGTCTGCATTATATAACAAAGATAGATTTTTTATTACTGACATTAATAATGATAGAACTCACATTAAAAAGAGATAAAGTATCTAACATTCCATCCAATCACAGAAATTCTTTCACGTACGGGAAGTTAATTTAAAAGTAAAAAAATAAGAGAAATTTATATAGTCCAAGTTGCGGGCACAACAACTAGCATAAATATAAATAATAATTTATGTCACTTTTTAAATAACTTTCCATTTTTGAAGCAATTTTCATTAAAAATATTTTTTAGTATAGCATTGTGAATGCGAAGTTGATCAATTATAATAATAACTGTCCGAATTTTGCTTATTACAATTTTCATTTAGTCAAAGTTACCTAATACAATTCGAAAACTAAAACCAATTGATTGATTGCCGAACATAGAAATAATAAAACGTTCTTATAGCATACGCTTGGGAAGGCTTAGAGTTTTTCGACCCTTCGAGGAAAGTCTTTCAACCCCTGCGCATGTTAGTATTATCTAAGTTCTCATTACATATTATTGATATACGGTCAGTTGCACAAACGTCTCTTAAGGTTTCAAGACGCCTTGAATATAAAATTTGCATGAGAAATATCACATTAATCTTTTGTCACTCTTAAAGGGCGTTTGTGCAACTGTCTGTTAGACTCCTTAATTTCACTTATAAAATTAATCTAGGTATTCTTTTCAGCTTTACTTACAAATTCTGACGTGAATGTCATAAATGTGGACTGGAGTGCTGGAGCAGTTGGAGCACAAGGAGATGCAGACGTCATTAATAGGGCTATATTATCAGGTAATTGAAGCATGCATGTATATATGAGCCCAGTTTAGACAGGTCTTTCCTGTAGGAAAAAACGCCCTGGGTCACACGGGGCCACAACCCACCATCCGGACTCAGTGTTGGAAAAGTCTGAACCCCCACTGAAGAAGTTCAGGCTTTTCCGTAAAGAGAAAGAGTAGTAAAAAGAAATAATATGAATGAACTAATATCTGTTAATAGTAAGAATAATAGTATTCTTATTAACTATTAACAGTTCTTGTTTCATTCAATTTCTTGTGTATTGGTTAAAAATATTTGGATAATGTATGACATTTTCTCAAGGTACGAGTGTACTTCTCTTGATACGAGTGTTAGAAATAGAGACTGCGACGCGTCAGGTTATACAAATTGTACGAAGTTCTCCAATCAATTGTAACGTCTAATGAGTAGAACTTAAGTTCAAAATCATCTGTAAAAGAACTCAAGGAGATAGATAATATGTGGACGGTACGATTGAAATAAACAGGACAAGCGGTGGGCAACTTCATCAACTGGCTGATGTCTCAGACGGGACAGACCGCGAATGACATTATCATCGTCGGCTTCAGTCTCGGCGGACTCCAGTCCGGAGTGGTCGGCAGGACCGTTCAGGGATCTGTGTCTTACATCGTGGGTGAGGCCTAACTACTGGATATTTATTACTTCATTTTTTTATATGATATTATACCTATTAATGCATTATTGAAACATTCATAGGACATTCAAGTTTTGACGCATTATTGAAATATTACGTGATGGTATCATGAATACAGATTTCTAATTGATGAAAGTAAACATACATTATGACTTTCAGTTTTCTCGGTCAACTCTGAAAGGAATTTCTTGTAAAGACATGACAGGATTAGTTGTAAAATATTAACAACTTCGGAAGATTAGATGAAGAAATATTTTTTTTTGTGATAATTCCTAACATTCACATTCATAAAAAAATATTAATTTATTATTAGTATATTATAATTAAGTCTACACGAATTATAGTATTTAATATTTAAGTACGCGAGTGAGGCAGTGTTATGTAGTTCATAAATAAAACATAGCCCTATAAAGGTAAAAACAATTATTTTATTGAAGTTTACGATTAAATTCGTAGATCAAATTTTGCCCTCGAAGTTCCTTGTTGAGGCCTAGGAGGTTTGCAAACCCTATATATGAGTGCAGGGGCTAATTGTGATCATTTCATATTATTCTTCCTCCTTTAAATTAATTAATACTTTACAAAGACGTTTTTTTGAATATAAATAGAAGCTAACATAAACCCTGCGGAAATAAGTAAAAATCAATATTGTACGAGACGTGTGTATGGGTGGTGATGTAGCGCTCGACCTGCTGCACAAACCGGGAGAGATTCAGGGCGGATTCCAGCCGAACGACGGCGCGTACACGGAAGCCATCCGCAACACCGTCAGCACCATGGGGGAGCAGCCCGCCGCGCAGGTTGACTTCTACATGAACGGCGGCGATCACCAGCCCGGCTGCGGGAACGCCTTTGGCTGCAACCACTACAAGTACGCTTCATCAAAATGCTTCCCAGGTCTTATTCCCTAGCAGAGGGAGGTACACTACACCACAGGGCCTGTCAGGTCTCATTACCCAGCAGTGGGTACACAATCACATCAGGTGTAAGTCAAAGCACAAAACGCAAGAGATAAATTATATATGAATTATTGAAATATTTATATTTATGAATAATCGCCCAAAATATTGTTATAATAATTTAATAACTCCTACAGCTAGTTGCAAAAATTTGTTCAAAGCGCCAGTACCCATAAAAATTTTACATTCTTGCTTGCTACAAGGCGTCATTAAATCTTAATTTATTGTAAGAATTTTCGAAAATTCACAATTTATATGTTAATATTCAGGTATATGGAATACAAATTAAAATATGAGAGAAATTAGATATATTCTATAATGACGTGATATACAAAGGAAAGGACGATTCTCTACAACATCAGCAAAATGGAGACCTTAGATGTACTTATTTTTTAAGAAATTAGGTTAAATTATTTTAAATCATAAAAGCAGTTGCTATTTTAGTCAACCATTAAAGTAAGAACAAAACTTAACAATAACAATCGAAAACAACAAAAACATAACAAAAATTTAGTGTGATATCAACACAACACAACACATTTAGTGTACTCGTTAAACAGTGTTAGTTTATTAACGCTATTGACTGTTGAAGACAATTACGTCACCAAAATGACAGCCAGGCACAATAGCAATTTGCGGGGATTACATATACACTACACCACAGGACTTCTCAGGTATCATTCCATAGCTGAGGGTACGAGTACATAGTAGGGGTTTAGTGGGTAAGCCTCCGATGATGGAGGAGAGTTTTCCCCGACGCATTAAAATATGCACTACACCAGTAGCTGACGCGTCTGTCGTGTGCCATGCTCCAAGCAACTAATAAACGTTTTCGTGTCTCTCAAATAATGTTGGAATTGAATTTGGTGTTGATCCACCTGCTGGCCGAGAATTTTTGTTGCCATTTATTCATTGGCAATGATTTAATAGAGTTCCAAGCAGAATTTACCCTACTTGGAACTGCTGTTAACTGTTAAATGGTTTAGAAGTCTGGCTTTCCTTATGCACAATGAAACATTCGATTCGGTGTTCGCTGCCGTCGCCCAGTCGGTTCTCGTCCTTAATGATAAATAAAATGTGTGTGTTGGTGTACAGAGCGTACATGTACTACGCGGAGTCGCTAGTCAGCGGCGGGTTCTTGGGTCAGCAATGCGGTTCATTATCGGACGCGCTACTTCAGACATGTAACCTGCCCGGACAACTGCGTATGGGCGGACTGTTGCCCAAGACCGGGTATGTGTATAAACACGCGCACGCACACGCACACGCACACGTACACGCACACGCACACGCACACGCACACGCACACGCACACGCACACGCACACGCACACGCACACGCACACGCACACGCACACGCACACGCACACGCACACGCACACGCACACGCACACGCACACGCACACGCACACGCACACGCACACGCACACGCACACGCACACGCACACGCACACGCACACGCACACGCACACGCACACGCACACGCACACGCACACGCACACGCACACGCACACGCACACGCACACGCACACGCACTCGCACACGCACACGCACACGCACACGCACACGCACCCGCACCCGCACACGCACACGCACCCGCACACGCACACGCACACGCACACGCACACGCACACGCACACGCACACGCACACGCACACGCACACGCACACGCACACGCACACGCACACGCACACGCACACGCACACGCACACGCACACGCACACGCACACGCACACGCACACGCACACGCACACGCACACGCACACGCACACGAACACGCACACGAACACGCACACGCACACGCACACGCACACGCACACGCACACGCACACGAACACGCACACGAACACGAACACGAACACGCACACACACATACACTAGATATTGCGATTGCTATCACTTATGCCAGTGAAGTTATTCTTGCATTATTTGTTTTTCTTTATTTGGATCGCTATCTCTATACCAATATTTTAAATACGTATAATTTCTGACTTTGTTTGTTTGTAGGTTCTAATCTTCGGAAATACTGATATGATCATGAAAATTCTTTTACCTACGAGAAGTTACATCATACACGAGTGACATGGACTATAATATATAAATTAATTCTGTTATCAGAAATAAAGATTTTCACCCGGTTTCTGAATTGAGAATCTGAAGTTGAGCACGTCTCAAACCATGCTTAAGTCATTTAAAAAAACTTAAGTTATTGAGAATAATCAGTTGAGATTTTATGATTTTCTCAATTCAGAAATCGGCCGTTAGTATTAGTATAAAATTGGTTTTACTTTTTTTATTTCCCATGGAATGATCTATTATAGATATATATATATATATATATATATATATATATATATATATATATATAATAGATCATTTTCATGGGAATCGAACCTAAGCCCCTGCAGTATCTTAAATTAATTATATTACCATTTTCTGTTTCAGAGCATCTGGTATATTCCACGTGCCCACCAACGAGAATTCGCCATACTCCCAAGGCTAATGGAATCAATGAAAGCAACTACATTGTTTTGTACCTATGTATCTATAAAATTATACTTCCATGTACCGCTTATTTTATTTTTGCATTTTATTTAATTATATTATTATTTAAAACCGTACATAATTATTATTAAAATTAAAGATGTATTTATTTTCTTTATGCCTTCTGAAAGAAAAACTATTTTTTATTAGCCTGAAATGAAAAAAGACCAACACTCGTAGCATGACGAACAAATGTTATTTTTCGGGTGCACCGGTACACCCATATAGGCCGAACAGACTCACGCCGAGAAATCCCGAGACTCGTATTCGTGATATGTTTCCCGCCTTCTCATTCCTTTTATATTTAGAAGGCCCTGCGTGAATTTGTTCGACCTATATGAGTGCACCGATGCATTGCCTCGTTTTGATTCTCGATCACGAGTCGAGAGACTCGACCCGAGGAAGAAAGCGACGTTTGGTTTAGACCCATGGTGGGCAACAGACGGCCCGCGGGCCGGATCGCTGTATGATTTGATCCGGCCCTTGAAACATTATGAAAAATCTAATTAAAAAAAACATTGTGTGGTTTTAAGTAACCATAGCGCAAATGAAACTTTTATTGGATTGTAGGCGTCGGATTGTAGACGTTCAACTGAGAATGTTTTCGGAAAATCATTCGATTTAAGTTATCACAATCGCGTTTTTCACCTCAACCCATTTAATATAATAATTGGAGAATGACAATTGGAAATCAATTACAGACAACATATCTAACTATGAATTTTTATTCCAATTCGCACTGAATTATTAAGATACAATTATTAAGATGATAGACACCTGTTACACATGTTAAAAATTAATGTATTACACATAACATGTAAACATAAATTTCAAATTTTCATGTATACATATATAAAATTAAGAATTCAAGTAGTTACAGATATTAGCAGTTTTGGAGTGAATACAAATTGAATTAAAAATGATTAAAATATTTCCATACTACCTTTCCTCTCCAAGATTCTGGAAGCCGCTGTCCATAGTCAACTCACATCTTATGTAGCCCAAATGCAGATTTTCAGTACCTTCTAGTCCGGGTTTCGACTTGGACATAGTACAACTGCAGCTCTTCTTTACATCTTACAAGATATCCGTAATGACATGGAGCAGTCGCAACTTACTGTTATGGTTTTGATCGATTTCTCTAATGCCTTCAACTCGGTTAACCATGAAATTCTTCTTACTATTCTTTCGCAAACCGGTCTTTTTCCTCAGCTCAGGCACGGTTTTCGTCATATCTTCGGGGGCACCGGCAGGCTGTCTGGACCAATCATAACACTTATGATTGGTGTGGCTTATCTGCCTTCGTTCCACATGGCGGCATATTATCTCCACTTCTGTTCACATTATTTATTAACTCTCTTACTTCTCATGTATGCTTCATAATGTTTTATTCGATCCATGTACCTCAGGATATTTGAAATCAAAACCTCATTCTTCAAACCCCCACTCATCATTCATTTATTTCTAATTCCTTTACCCTCACAACTATTCGCCTTTGGAATGCTCTTCCGTTTCGCATTAGAAATGCTCAGAGTAAGGTGATATTCAGGAAATTGGTGCGTGAGCACTATCTCGGACAGTAATTGTATGTTATTTATTTGTATGTATGTGTGTGTAATTAGTATTTATGTAATTATTCAATATTTATATTTAAACTTTGTAAGTTCTGCTAGATATATCGATCTTTATTGCCTAACATGCAAATCCAACAATCGCTCAGGTTGACTGGTAAAGAATGTCCTTGGCATTAAGTCCGCCATTTGTATGTAATGCAATAAAGAGTAAATAAACATTTTTGGGCTTCTTTTGATAAAAACTTAAATCGTCCAAGTTTCAGGATATACTTTTATTATATTATATATAACTAGCTGTGCCCGCGACTTCGTCTACGTGGGAAGTATTTTGGTAGAATTCCTTTTTTCCTATGAATGGAGTTGAATCGACTAAGATCAATGGGCCATAACCCACTATGCGGGCTTATTGTTCCATTTTCCATGTAATGCTAGGTTGCCTGGAAGAAATCGCTGGCTAAAGATGAGTTTGTCGTTTGTAATTAGTTATGTAAAATAAGTATTCATGTACGTCCTTATTGTGCAGTGTTTACTAACTTATTTAACTGCAATTTAAACCGAATGCATTAACCCACTACGCCATCGGATCTCTTATACCTAAGCTATACTAATATTATAAAAAGGAAAGATTTCGTTGTTTGTTTGTTTGCATCGAATTTGCTCCAAAACTACTGGACCGATAGTTGCAGAACGATTCTGACCTACGGGAAGCCATATCAGACGAGATGTCATAGACTATAATTTTGCGGCAAAGTCGCGGGAAAACAGCTAGTTCAATATACCCTGTGAAAACTTATCTGCGGTACGCCTGTGGAGTATGAAGGCAGCACGGATTGGCGATCATAAAAACTACTTTCTCGGTCTGTATTGTGCAAAGTGCGAGCTCTTTCAGAGACCAAGCGCATTTCTCTATCAAAGGAAGTTTCATACTCTTACCATACGTCATGTATGTTACGATCAGCGGTTAGACGCGCTATACGATCTTCAGAAGTTTCCAAGGTCAAACGCTTGTTGTATGAGTTCTCCGAGAGCTCAAGAGATTGTCCCTGACTGTAAATGCTTCAGATTCAACTTTATATTGCATGAGCCTCGCGGTGGGCAGTTAAATACGCTTCGCGTTTTTCAGCTGTCTCCCGTGTCCGAGCGCTTTCTGTCCGATCTCTTTCTTTGTCAATAAAAGTCGGTCGGTACATGTCTGACGGAAGATACGTGATTTATTATTTATTGATATAAAAAAAACATATACATATTTCAATTTCAACTTTCCACACTCGAAGGAAATCGACTACTAACACATACTTCCGAGAGGTGCTTAACTGAGCTTTCGTCAGATTTGAACGGTTCTAATCATCATCATCATCAGCCTTTTTACGTCACCGACTGCAGGAGCTCAGGCCTTCCTTATGGATGGTTAAGGAGGATGGGCGACGACCCTCCATGCTGGCCCAATGCGGATTGGAGGATATTAACGACTACAAATATAATCGGGACCAATCGTTTTACGTACCTTCCGAAGCTTGGAGTTGCTTGAAATAAACCATTGTTTCCAGCGAAGATTGAAAATACCAACTTTGAAGTACGTATCTACAGCAATTTGTGTGTTTTTAACACACAAAAAACAAAAAGTTTATTAACATAAAAAATAGTAACAAGAGGAAAAATATATATAACTCGAGTTGTCTTTACGTTCTTAACTTCAGTTGACGTGAATCTAACTTTTTTAACGTCGTAGAAAAGCTTCTGACATTGTCTCCATTACCTGGCAAGCAACAGGGAAGAGTAGGATTCTCCTCCGTGTACCCGATAGTGAGCTAGCCAGTGGATCCGCAGAGCCCTACCCACCAAAACCCGTACGCTACACCATCTCATGGGAGATGAAACTCGGCAAGCTATGGCCAAGTCTCCAGAACACTCAAGTATTGGACCATTGGTCCCCTTGCAGATGGAAAATTGGAGAGGCTCGGGTAAATCGAGTGCCTCTACCAGACAGACGAAACCGTGCAATGCGGGGGCGGCTGCCAACCACCTCCGCTGGCCCCGACGACGATGTGAACCTAGTCTGATAAAAATATGCGTTCACTATAAACTACTCGATGTTTAATTGCATCATCGGAGCTATTTCCACACGTCCATAATAAGCTGAACCCTATTTAATATGATTGGTCATATATAAATGAGGTCAACTTACTTCGGACTAGTCAAAATTTTGGAATCTTATTTTTTTATTTGTCATCATACAAATCATCATTTTATAGACAATATTAATTCGTAGCTCAGTGGCGCCACGGATAAGCGATCGACGGAGAAGCGAGATAACGATCGCCATTGTTAAGCAATTTTCGCAAGAGTTGTTCACGGGATGGGTGACCAAAATTTATTAAATAAAGGCCTGAGGCCCTGCAGTTTGGCTGTGAAAGAATTAATGATGATGATCAATATATCAAAGAAAAACAGTTAATATTTCATAGCAATTTTGGCGAACACGTCACTTCAAATTCACATAACTTTTCTATTTGTGAACCGATTGAAATAAATCTTACACTAAATGTTAACGGAAGAATACCGCAATATAATAGTGAAAATTGATTTCATGCATTTCAATCGATTCAGCCGTTTCTGAGATAATCGTGCATAAACAGACAAAAAAAAATAAAAATCATTGTTTTGTGTGCTATTACGCTTATAAATGCCCCTGATAACAGTTTTTTTCATATATCTTCAATGTACAGACATCGATCAGTTATGTTTTTATTATAGTATAGATTTATAATTTTTATTATAATCACAAAACTTCATTAATAAAATTTTATTTTTAAATTTATACGATTTACAATATGTGTGATTTATACATGTTTACAACAGACGAATTTTTTACGAACTGACATTCATAAAGAGTATATTAAATTAGTCAAAATTTGAACCTGAAAGATGGCAGATCAAAAACACCCGTCAACAACCAAATTTGAATGCTACATTTATTGTTGTGTTGGCGCCAGCTTAGTTTTATAACTTTCCATATATATAAAACTCAGAAACAAAAGGGGTATCTTCGCCAACACCTCGTCGCTTGGCAGATCTGTCGAGGCTTCATCTACAAGATCGCCACCAGCATTAGAAGTTACATCTAATTTATTTGTCACTGACGTCTCCGATACCAATAGTCTTGAGTGACATCGGGGAGTAGTTAGTTTCGGTGACGGTTTATGATCTGCGACCACCAAAGCTAAGCTGAGGATTTACAGAAGCAGATTTTTCCATCCAAAAGCCGTGGATCGCAAGTATTAGAATACGAGGAAGTGAACCTATACGAACTACAAGAGCGACAAACATATGCTATGTAAATCCGCAGAAAAACAACATCTTTATACTTTCGAATATGTTTATAAATAAATGACACACATCATATATACATATTATCAAAAAGATGAATCATATTATTATTTACTTCACTTTTTGACAATATTCAGTTTCACTGGAATAACAAGATTTTTCAACTGACCAAATGCAATGGATGATGAAATGCCGTCGGTAGTCAAGATGTGGAAGAATGCACAAAGAATTAATCAACCACTGAACCAATTTGAGTACGTATTTTCAGCTACATATAGTATAGTTGTTCATATCTAATCACTTATAACTTGATTTCTTTATACATGCTTTTATTATTTGTAACTTAAGGCACGATAGCTCAACTATAATTAAAATGGTATATGCATATGCTCTCTTTTTTCTACTCGATAATGTTCAACCCCATGATTCC